GGGGGGGGGGGTTGAATGGTAAGGTGAGGGATAATTGCTCTCAAATATGTGGCTCGTGTGAACGTGACCCCTTCATATTTATAGTAACCCCCAGCCCACCCCCCTCCCCTCACGCTCCTCCATCAAAATTCAGCTCTTTCTCTCGCTCTTGAATACCTATTTTAGTCTCTCTCTATTGCTTCGCTACTTAGGTTCTTCATTCGTGAAAAACAAGATTTCGTAATACAACTTTAGTCCTTTTAAAAATATGTCATTCCTAAGGTACGCGATTGGCAGAGGATGCATGCCCATATCATATTTAGCATTTATTGAGAGAGGATAGAATTAAATGGGAGGGGGGGGGGTTCTGTCGTACATCTGGAGATTTAAAGATGGCTCCAGGTTGATACTCTAGCAACGAATTACATGAGATTCGTTGAAAGCATTGGATTTTGAGTATTGATTTCAAGGTACCTTTTATTAGTACTTTCCAAGCCTTTTTTCTGTTCAGAGTAATCTAAATTACTAAGGAGACTGTTCAGTCCGAATCGATTTTGTTTAAGGTGGTATTCTGGTCTAGAGACATGAATTTTAGGTCATTTTTGAAGTGCTGTAAAAAATAGCAAGAAATATTTTTATTATCAGTTTTTTTATATATTATTTATTCACCTTCGAAGCATACAAAAAACTAAAAAATAAAAAAATTAATTTTTTTATTTATTAGCTGATTTAGAGGTGCGTCCCAAAAATATGGTGCATGGCCATACCCACAATTTTGACTCTCCAAGCTATCTGAAATCAAAAAATAAAAAAGATTTTCAATCTACAATAATGTCGCTATGGCCGGAACTACGGAAAGGTTTTACCTATACTTTTTTACAAAATGGCGACTGTCTAAAGGAAAAAAACCATTTTTGTACCACTTTTTTGAGCATTCTTCAATTTTTTAAAAATAGTAAAAATTAAATTTTTTAGATGGCCGTAGTTTCAACCATAGCCAGGTTCCTAAAGAAGACCCTCTTAAAATTACAAGTAAATCGGTTCAGCAGAATCTGAGAAATCGTGGGTATCAGATTCAAATAAACAGTTTTAAGAAAAACGCGTTTAAAGATTCAAGTAAAATATTTTGCAGTCTAAGTCATAAAATTATCTTTTTAACTTACATTTATTCAATCGACCACTCCTGCTGCTTACATCGGACCTTTCCCGACTTCGAATAAAACTATTTTCGGCGTCTCTGTTTTCTATTCGAGCAATTCTGGCGCTTCTGAACCAATTTTCACTCCCATAATCGTCATTATCTTCAACATCGGCATAAAGCCTTCATTAAAAATACACACAGCAATAAATGTTGCAATTTCAATGATCTGAGACCTGGAATGGACATGCTTTGGAGCGAAAGTCCTTATCAGCGAGTTTAGAGACTCATTATTATTTTGAGTTTCTTAACCCAAACATCGAATCAATAACTCTTCTGATGATAAACTTTGAAGGATTTGTCAATGAATTGACATGATGGAATGTAGCGTAGACTATTGCAACTGCATTTTAATGCAATTTTGAACCCGACTCCGCGTTGAGCCGTTCTTGAAAATATAATCTCGTTGTTGTATGTAGTACACCAAATAAAAAAAGAAATTGCTGAAAAGACCTTGAAAAACTCCAAATCACAGTAGCCGTAATTATTATCTATAATTACTTCTTCATCATTTGACTTCCTCAATTTTGCTACTGATGCACTCGTAAAACTGGTGTTTTCCTGTTCCGTAAATCAAGTGCCGTGAAATATAAATACATAAATATATGTAAAAATATATATAGATTGATAGATAGATATAACGGAACAAAAGGGCTTTTTAAGAAATATAGATTCATTATGTCTTTTGTTCGATAAGTTGCAGCCCAACCGATTTGGATGCCTGCTCAGCAAAATATTTATATCTCCAAAACTAATTTGACTTTTGGAAAATCCTCTCGTAGACATGTTCTTGAATAGTTAAACTATGAAAATATGAAAAAAAATTTTCGAAAATTTTTTTTCTAGGCTAGAATACCCCCCTTAAATGCTCCCGTGTGATGAATGATGAAAGTCATATGCACTCGTGAAGTGTACACAATTCTCTTCATAATTTCCCATTTATTAAGACAATCATAAACCTAACTCGAAAAAGGTATTGATAAAGAGTGCATTTTAGAGAATAATTGAGGTTATTAGGCTTGCCTGTTTTATAAATAAACCCTTGTAAAATTTGCAAAAATGTACTCGAATGAGCCTTGACTTACTCTCAGTAATTTCTATGGCAAAGTATCCTAATATGGATAGGCTCCCGCAACGAGCTAGACTATCTCAATCAGCATATTGAATTATGTGCTCACCGCAAAACATTATTCATATTTGAATAGTCTTAATGTAACTCGAATGGGCATTATAAAACCAATTAGCTGAAAGCTCTCCCCACGCACGACCGCACCCCTTAGAATGTTCGAGTACGCATGAGTTCGATAGCGGTAGAATTGTACATCCCGCCATACTCCTCTCAAGAAAAAACTGAATAATAATTGTGCGTAATCGACCAGTCGATGCCACGTTGATTAGCTAGTAGATAAAGCATTCTGTAACTCCAAATCTCCGACATAAAATGGGAGATTTTAAAATTGAGCAACGGGTTGATTGGGTATATATTTTAGTGAAAAAAAATCTTTGTAAATATTAAATAATTTCGCCGTAAATCGTATTAAAACTCATATTTAGTCTGTTAAAGCATGTAATATGTTTGTTACATCTTTGGATATTCATAATTTTCGAAGTCCAATCAACTTTCTCCGCTCTAATATCTTCTCCCCTCTTCCTAACTCATCAAACATTGGAATAAGGATAATGCTCTTTGAAATTTTGAAATTTATAGCAACTTTTCAATGTTAGTTTCACCGTTCGACTGTTTTAAGATGTGGGAGAAAAAATGCCATAGCCTGCCCCTTAGCAAATTCTGCCAAATTACATAATTTGTACTGTTAGTAAAAGTAGATGTGCTTGCCAAATAAAGATTTCGGAATTACAAATGACTTTTATTGTGAATCCTTCTCCAAGTGATTGATTAGAAAGTGGACTTGGTCATATATACATATATACATTAATATACGTTAGTATAGCACATTTAACGGAGCAACGTCATCTACAATCCTTATTAACAAACTAAGTAATGGAATAGTTTTGAACTTTACCCTCACAAATCTCATTAAAACTCGAATTTCAATTCACTTCAAGTTGACTATATTTGGATGCCTACAACCAACCTCCCCTCACCCCACACACACACGCGTGATAAAATGAGGTAAATAAGGCGAATCTTACTCAAGATATGCATTATATTTCACTTCAAAATGTTTAGGTTCTTGCGCGGAATGACTTAAGTGTGGTGGAGTTAATTTTTTACGCATGTTATATATATATATATATGTCCATCTCAAGAGCCCCTTCCAGGTATAAAGAGACGAAGGATGAGGATTTCGTTTCAGGAAGGGAGTATTCAGGGTGGGGGGAGGGGGAGGGGGTGGGGGGAAGTGGATATGCAATGAGAAATGCATTTAATAGAAGTCAAAGGAGCCCACTTGAGTTAGGCAGAGGATAGGTTCCTACGTGATTAGTCGTCGTCCCGGTTATAATATGGAATGTAGGTATAAAAGCAGATTGAAGTTCCAGGATTGCACTGACAGCGATGATTGTCTCTAACTATTCTATCAGTACTAGCCATGAAGGATATGAAGGACCACTCGAAACAACCCTCCTGCTGGCAGAGTTGAAAGCATTCTTCTCCTGTTCTTACCCTGCACTTGAAATTTCCGGTATCTGTAAATAAAATACAGATTAAATTTAAAATTTTTGCCTAATTAGTGATCAAATGGTAAAGAGAAGACTCACATGGATCGTAGGTGTTGTTTTTACATGGTCGAGAGAATTTGAATTCATCGTCATAGAATTTGACTGAAGTGGAAAGGAATAAAGTGAAACACTACTATGATAGAGGTTGAAAAGAAAAACGCAGCAAAAAGTGTGTGAGCTTCCTCTCTAGCTTACATCTATATGCTGAAATTGGAACAAGGAAGAGGAACAGTAGAAGAGGTAGCAGAAGAAAGATGTTACTGAAGTTATTTGTAGACCTGATCATTTCCTGAGATGCGTTTCTTACTAAGTGCTAAGAAACACTTGACTCTCCCCAACTTAAATAGCTCGGGTCTGGCGTTGCGTAAAGGGTGCGGGCCAATAGCGTGAGAGCTGAGGAGGAGGAGGAGGAGGAGGAGGAGGAGATGGAGAAGAAAGAGACTGGACGAAAGGGGACAGGGAGAAAACTGTACTGGTTGCAAAGTGTCCGCACGTACAAATCGCCTCTCCCTCCACCCTCTTCTATCCACCCCGAAAAAATGGAGGTAACCAATTTCGCGCACACCTACTATTGTGTTAAATAAAATTTGAAAAAAATATATTATATCCTTTGTCCTCCCTTGCATGTTCAACTCTGAACTCGTTTAAGTCCACTCAGTTCTTATTTAGTTAGGGGATTTTTCCAATAGGCACCTTCCAGCTTTAACGGAAGTGCCCCAAGAATTCTACTCATCAATGTAAAAAGCAGGCAATATGGTGCACGCCTGCTTGCAGTCTGCGTCAATTAGATCAAGTTTTCACATTCACCACTTATAAGACTTTCAAAGAGCCCAATAATTTTGTTAGGAAAAACGTTTTCACAAAAAAACACGTTATTGGTTTTTTTACTTTAAAACAACCTGGTCTATAAATATATAGTTAGGATTAATGGATGTATGGGTTTCTTTAATTGATGAGGCGCCAATTTAATCTAATAATAGAACAAGTTAGGTGGGCTAAATTTCTGTGCGTATTCTCAATGTCGCCGAACCCATCATCTAAAAGTAACATTTTGTAGTTTGGCTACCGCTAAATAAATTCATCGGAGCCATGTCGCTAAAATTAGATTTTTAGGAGATAATAAAACTACTTCTAAAGGATAAATGCAAAGTAATTGCGTCACAGCACAGAGATGTAGAGGTTTCAAACGAAATAGTTGTGTCAAAATAGTTCACACCAACGTAGACAAAGTGCTTTCATCATAATTGCATTTTTCACTCAGTCAGTGCAAACCTCACTCTCTATTTAAACAGTATCAATTGTAACCTTAGGCAATTTAGCCCACAATCACCACAACCCGCGAATTCAAAACCGCAACCCATAATTCAATAATTATAATATTATTATCAATGAAAGCCCATAAGAACAATAAAAACTATCATAGAGGAAAACGGAAGCATAATAATAACAATAAGGAGTGTTGAGACAGTTAGAGGCTCTTTGCGATATGATGATAGACTGTGTCGGCTGGTGGTATTGTTTGTTTGTTTGTTTATTTGATTATGTTTTCTCTCAAGACACTTTGGAACGAAGTTGAACGACCGCTTGACTTATTTTCCAATCAGTCTGCAGTAGAGGCTTACTGCCAACTTGCTCACTCCTAGATGAAATGAGGTGATAATCGAACCAATGACTGAAATATTCGACGGAGTCGTACGACGGCGTAACATTTTGTGGAACCACCGCTTCAGATGCGACTGAAGCCGGAGTTGCGCTAGAAGCCAACCCGATCACTTCAAGTGTAATCGCGATCCCGCTCACGAACGTAATTGTAAAGGCACATATTTCGGATACACCGACACCTATAGTGATCGTGGATTCTTGTGTCAGTGCTTGCCATGAAGGAAGTAAACGACCATTCGAAGCAACTATGTTTCTGGCAAAGATCAAAACACTCGGCTCCTGTTCTGACCACACATTTAAAATTACCAGTGACTAAAATGAAACAGATTTAAGTATGAATTTCTACACCAAGAATAGTGACTATTCAAGATTTTAATGATGATTACTTACTAGGGTCAATGGTATTTCGTTCGCAAGGTTTTGAAAACTTGATTTTTGGAACATAGTAAGTAACTTCAGAGAAAAAAGGATAATTAATAAATAAAATGAAATTAAGTATTGAATTTAAATTATACTGAGGGTAAAATTTACCTCGAGCATAAGTGATTGTCATAAAGAGAAGAAGTAATCCGACAGTTTTGTAAGAATTGATCATTTTCTAACCGAATATATGTATCTGATAGCAAAGATTGGAAGTATGATTAGATTGTCTGAAAATGCGTGCTTATATAGAGCCATTAAAATGAATGTCCTGGTCGCCAACCAATGAGATGACGCGAGATCACAAAAGGTCGTCGAATAGGGAGAAAGCAGGTAATGCACGCGCACCGAACTAAACTAGTCTGAGCGCACAAGTGCTGCCGTGCTGCTAAGGCGTGCGTCAGTGTGACCCTTAGCACACACAGCCATCGCACAAATAAATGACCTTGAAAACCATCCGTTTTCACATGTTTTGAGTTTTAATTATGCTCCAATACTCACGTGTTCAGTGCAAGATATTTTTCCCTCCCAAATAATAGGAATTTCGAAAATTTAATCATGATAATAACTCCTTTCTTTAACTGAATTAAAACAAGTTCCTCAAATTTTATTCTTTAATAAATTCGTCGCCAATAATTAAAACCGATTTTATAAACGGTTCCCCAAAAAAACTCTATTTAAGCAGGATCGTTCAAATAAGGATCTTATAACCACCAGAATTATGTAAAAATAGGGTTCCGAAATATGGGTAAATAGAGAAAGGTGTTTCCTTTCAACTATAAGTACTAATATCTTCTATTTTTAAAGCATTCTGAAATGTTACACATATAGATATATGTCCCCACTGTAAATTGTGAAATTTGCTTTTCAGCTCACACCAGAGCCAATCAGATTTTAATTATCGTCAGCAGTATCATGGTTCAATTACTCATATAAATAATTAATTTTGATAAACCCTCCGAACTAACCTTGGCTTGTTGTCAACATATAAACATCTAGTTGGCAAAGGCTTGAAAAATATTAAGAAGGCTGAATGAATTAAATTTTCCCTTTAAATGGAGTATCTATGACAATATAGGCCTATTCCGAGTTCATAAACTGGCTTAAATTGGGATTTTTTTAAACTAAGATGTTATTATTACTATTATCATCATCATCATCATCATAGAAGTCAAATGGGTAGGAGTTGTTGGATGCTTTAAAAATGCATCACTTTTACTACTTTTGCTAAAATCTCATTGATTTGGAATAGTTTCCAAAAGTAAAGGCCCCACATTATAGGAGCTAAAAAGCTAAGTTTTAATATTTCCAAATCAGGGTGCGCGATAGACTAACCTCCACGTGGTGCACTCTGGACAACGTATACTCATACGGCAAAAAAGTCTATTAAGCGGCAGTTGACTTCGCACTTCAAACTACCATCACCCCACTGTATGTCATATTGGACTACTTTCACAGTACTCACCTCACCTTTTTTCTACCTTTATGTCTGTCTCTTTTACATCCGTGAATCACTCTTCTGTTCCCCTCTAGATTTTTTTCACTTTGATGTACCTTCCCCCTATGTGAAGCCTGAAATCAACTAAAGGGCTAATGGTAACTATCAAAACGCCTGGAATTTGATATAAATAAATCAATATTTCCAAATCGAATTAATTTTAATTATTAACCGCATATTGAATGTGAATGACACTTGAGATGAACTTTAATAAAAAAACTCCATTTGAAGATTCATATTCCGCTGTTGATTAAAGCACTCTGATTCCTTGGGTCTGCTTTTTCTCCTATTTTATTATTTAAAATAATAGCATAATTCAACTCAAAGTACTCACAGGAAGCCTTTCTAAGCACTCATCTTAAGCAGGTGAGCCTCTCGAACTAATAACCTGCACCTACCCCAAGTATTATTGACCAGTGTGATGAACTTCGAAACTGTAATGACTGACTTCACAAACATGACTGACAATTCTCGACTCTCTTTGTTTCTAAATGTCAAGGTATCATCCTTGCATTCGAATAGATACATATTCACTTTGGCAGTTCTCTAATTTCCATGCATTTTCTTAGGCTTTCGTGAGTCATGATGCCTTTGTAGGAGGCGATTTTCCGGTGACCAATAGCATGCACCTAGCATTTTAAATATGGCGCCAATTCGGCTGCCTTATTCTGTAAGAATGCTAAACTTATTGGAGTTATTTAAAGTGGGAGATCTTGGTTTTATGGTCTATTTCCAGGGGCAATCTGATTTCAAGTGGTGCTTGAAGAAACATTACAATTACCTGAGAATATGATTTTGCCATTTCCTTAAGTGTGGCTTTATGACTGGGTGGATATACCCAAAGCAAAAGAGGGTAATTACTTATTGGATTTTAGTGAGTTAAAGGAGGTCATTTGATAAATTTCTCCCCTCATCAAGTTCCTTTACAAATTCAAGTCTTTTCCTTTTCAATTCACGTCATTCTTTGTCTTCTTGAAAACTCTCTGCGTGTCAACGCTAATTATTGCCAATAAATTCAAGGTAGTTCAAGTGTTTTAGTTAAATTCGACTGCATTGACCTTTGACCCAAATGTCATCACTAACTCGAAGAAGATTTTGCCTAGATTACCTATACATTCCAAAGGAAATGAAGCTCATTATATACTCACTTTGTTTGAAAAAAAACGCGCAGAAAGTACTGGGCAATTTTGGATAAAAATTTTTAAATAATAAGATTCAGACTCAAGTGAAAAGTAGGACAAAGCTCACTCTCCACTGGGGGTATGGCAATCACTGTCTTTTAGATCCCTTACTTTCAGCAATTAAAGGATTTTCTACAAATATAAATAGTTATTTTTTTAATTTTTTGACTCTTGGTGGCAATAAATAACTCAAGTACTTTCCACCACGTACTTCATCTACTTTCAATTAAAAAATTTTTGTCCATTATCATGGATTAAATTTTCATATATAATCTCTATTTAGAAAGTGATTTTTCGGGATGTTTGCAATAGTCTTACTGGTTCACCTATCAATGACAATTATTACCCACTATTGATTTTATTCATATATATTATTCATATATATTCATATATATATATATATATATATATATATATATATATATATATATATATATATGCTTATTCGATAGTACATTTTTCTGAATTGTCCGATTCTAGTGAAACGTTAGCTTTAACAATTCTTCTTCCATAAATTCCATTCTAAGTAAGTTAGTTACTAAAATTGAAGCTCATTTAAAAAGGTGGACAAAGTACATATAAAGTGAATCCCTCATTGAACTAAAACAAGTCACTGATCTAGGCATGCAAGCAGAAAGCAAATAGAATGCCTTTCATTCTTTGTACGAAATTTTGCCCAATACTTTACGCGTAGGCTTGATTTCTCTCGACAGCTAGTCAACTTCTATGCCCTCTCCTCCACCTCCAACTCCCCCCC